GAATAAAAATAGTTTTGAGTGAAAACAATTAGTCCTCAGATACAATGTCGTTATCAGTGACGGATAAAGAAAATGTCGCCCTTCTATCTCTGATGCAGGGGTTTATGGGTACCTGACATTTGGAAAGGACACGAAGGCCGACATTTTAATGTCGTACGCAAGCGACGACGTCCTGATGCTCATCGCCCGGCTGCTGTTCGGAGTCTCCATCATCACCATCTATCCCATCACCCTGCTGCTCGGCAGGTAAACGACTCGTACCAACTCTGCTTAATATTTCACTGTGATAAGGTCATTCACGATTATCTGAAATGTTAGGTTTAGGGTCATTCTGCCTTGGTTCACCGAATACAAATACAAAATACATAAAGTATGCCTCTGACTGGCACCAAACCCCACATTGTTAAAGCTCTTATTACAGAGGAAAAAAAATAGCCTCTTAGGGTGAAAAGTAAAGGTTTTAATGGTTGGTGGAATGTCGGAATAGAAAACAAATTTACACCATTATTTACCTGGTTTGTATTATTCTATCAAAGTAGGGTGGTGCCATTAAAGACCATGTGTACATATCAATGAACCTGCAACATTTCAGGACTGTACCCGCTTTATTTCTCAAGTTATGGCACTTTAAACATAGCTCCACAGCATGATGCTGCCACCACCATGCTTTGTAAAAATCAACAACTCAGTCAACTCAAAAACTAGCATTAAATATGACCCCAGATTTGACATGTTTGACTTAACATACATATGCATAGAATACAAGGCAGCATAATACTGCCACCACCGTGCTCTGCAAAAAATCAACACTTTTCACTCAAAAACTAATATTTAAGATGACCTCAGATTTGGCATGTTTTACTGAATAACATACATTTGCATAGGACAAAAGGCAGCATGGTACTGCCACCATCATGCTTTGAAAAAATGTACATGTTTAACTCAAAAACGAATCTTAAATATGACCCCAGATTTTACATTTAACTTAATAACATACAAATGCATAGAAAAAAGGCAGCATGATGCTGCCACCACCATACTTTCTCAAGCGATGGCACTTTAAACATTGCTCCACGGCATGATACTGCTACCACCATGCTTTGCAAAAATGTACATTTTTAGCTCAAAACTAATGTTAAATATGATTTTAAAAATTTAACTTATGAACATATATATATAATATATTTATAGAAAAAAATCAGACAAATATGAGAAGGTCAGGTGTGAAGTTTCTTTAAAATTTGGTGAATTGAGGTGGACTGCCAGTTTAGTTACAGTTTCTGACGTTTTTTTTAAAATGTGAAAGTCTTGCCTGGTGTGACGGAGGGATTTTAGGTAAACATGAAAGAATTACACCGACCTGTGATCACTTAAAGTTCTTTTTAGAAAACTGTGAGCCGCAGAGCTTCACTAAGGCAGCTAGATGTTTGTATTTTGACCTGAAGCTTCTAGGATTGACCTGGACGACTGAGAGTCTCCACAGAAACAAGCTGAGTTCTGTTGCATCCAACCTGTTTGTTTCTATCAGGTCAGTGATCCAGGACCTCCTCCTGAGCTGGCGGCGGCGGCGTCACGGCGACCTGCTGACGGTGGAGTTCGAGAGGCGCAGCCGCCACACGCTGACGGTCCTGTGGATAACGATGACGCTGCTCATCGCCGTGTTCGTACCGGACATCAGCAAGGTCATCAGCGTCATCGGCGGCGTCAGCGCCTTCTTCATCTTCATCTTCCCGGGTTAGCGGCCTCGTCGGTCGTCACGCTTTCCGCCAAGTGTTGCTCACGTCCTGTTAAAGCTTGTGTTTGTGTTTGAGCAGGACTCTGTCTGATGTTTGCCATGCAGTCTGAGCCGGTGTCCTGTAAGACCAGGTGAGCCCAAAACTTCATTTAAATGCTAATGTAGTGTCAATATACGTGTGGGGGGGATGCTCCAAAGAAGAGGGGAAGAGTGAATATAGTTAGTAAATAACTGCCTGAGTGGGTGTTTGGTTTATTTAACACTTGTTCAATTCATACGGTCCAAATAAATCAAATTAAAACTGGATTTGAAACTTTTATTATCCATTTTTCTGGATTAATGTGTAATTATCTCAGTTTTAGTTTTAATTGTTCACAAGACACTGTATTGATCCCTCACTGGGGAAATGTGCATGTTTCAGCAGCCGGATACAAAATGAGGCGAGAATTAGAACAATAAAGCTTAAAATGAAGATATAATAAAGACGATGTACAACTTTCACATGTACAGATGTGGAACGATCACAAGACGTTCTTCTGTTGTGACACATTTAACTGTGGCCCATAAATTCCACATGAACCTCTACTTATTGGTGTTGAAAGTCAATGATTACAGTTAAAGTAGCCGTAAGAGGAGGTTATGTTAACGCTACGCTGAAGCCAGCTTGTTCTGCTTCAACACAGAGCTCCAGAAATTCAGTTTTATTCTAAATTGAAAGCAGAAACTGAGAGAACAAGATGCCTTTAAGAGTATAACGGAGGAACATTTAGTACGTAAAACTGTAGCCCAACAGAAACTTTTAAATGCTTTCTCCGTCCTAAAGTCTTTGAGAAGTTTGCTGGTACTGATGGGTCTGAGGATGGAAACATCTTCCTGAGGATGGAAACATCTTCCTGTCAGCGTTTCTGTTCTCAGCGCGTCAATCACTGTCAGGGCTGCCAAACGTTTTTCTTTTTTTTCCGAGTGGTGGCAACTTTTAGATTGAACTTTTTGGAGGGATTTCTTTATCCCCTTTTGGCATAAAGCAAATGCACAAGTCACTTATGAACCCAGGTGTGCTTATATACAGTAGATACATAGCAAAAGATGGATTGAGATTCTTACAGGAACGGTTGAGTGGATGATTTTGATCCGAATGACCCCTTTGGTATCTGTTAAACAACTCCAAGTCCATGATGTGACGAACTGTGCAGCCTGCAGCGTGGAGTTTGCTAATAAAGAAAGGCAAAGTAAACCTTTATTTAGTGGTTTAATTAAAGGTCACAGCTCCTTAGAGTGTGTTTGTTCTCCCAGTCTGATGACCAACCGCCCAAATAATCGTATTACATTTGAGAAAACGGGACGACGGAGCAGAGACGTAGATTTATTGAACAAGAAGCCGAGTCGTCTCAAGATCTTTTTACCGATGACGGCTTTGCAACGTTTAATTTTCTATGTGAAGATCATAACTTACCAAAGTCTCATTACTTCAGGTATCTTCAGGTTCGGAGTTTTGCCTCTAAATTTTTCCCAGGGTTTCCATCCCCACCCTCCAAAGACCGACTGTGTCTAGTACTTAATGTAAATCCACTCAATAAAAGAGCAATGTCAAAAATATATGCATTCATTCTGGATAGCTGCCCTCATACGTGGGACAAAATCAAGGCAGCGTGGGAAGTAGAAGTTGGAGAAACAATACCTGAAGACACCTGGAAAAATACCATACAGCGTATACACACATCTTCTCTCTGCATTAGACATGGCCTGATCCAGTTTAAGGTCGTCTACAGGATGCATTACTCGAATGACAGACTGTCAAAACTTTACTCTAACGTTGCACCGAACCGTCCTAGATGTCAGTATTCCCCGGTTTCTTTGGGGCACATGTTCTGGTCATGTCCTTCTCTATGTGGTTTCTTTTGTAAGAAATACGTAAGAAATGATGTCATTGTTTTTATACTATGGAAAAATTATAAATAAAGTTGTAAAAAAGAAAAAAAAAAAGCCGAGTCGTCTACAACAAGCCAAGCTGGTTGGTTGTAACAGAAAGCTTTGGCTTAAATGAGATTCTTTTCTAAGCCCAGCGTGCGTCGTAGGGCTCATCTTTGCAGTCTTTTGTTTATATTCAAACCCTGTTAATCTTTGTTTTTGCTAAATCTTGTGGTCAGAACGACTCCTACCAACACACAGAACCTCCTCATTAAAGCTTCTGCTCAGACGTTACACACTGACCACAGATTTCCCATAAGACCTGTTTCTCATATGCACATAAGTATGTTGTTTTTGTTTTTTATTATTATATTTAAATAAATACAGTCACCATATGTTAGCCTCTCTGATTGGAGCATATATCAGCATATTTATTACATGTATGTAAACACAGAGCGCTGCTTGGACCTTCACTAGATTCTAATGTCTGATATGTTTAAAGTTCTAGGATCTAATGAAGCCTTTTAATCAGGCTTTTGTTTATTTATTACTCTTCTTAGAACTACTTTTATTTATTGATTACTCTATGTATTCGCTTATTTACATTTTTTATTATATGCACGGTTTATTACTTTATTTTTTATTTTCTTATTCTGTTTTTTTTTTTCATGAATTCTTCTATTTTGATCTTGTCTTTTGTAATATTATCTTTCTTCAATCCCTGTTTTGCCCTTCACCTATTTATCTGTTAGTTCTTCTTAGAACTAGTTTTATTTATCGATTTCTCTCTTAATTCACATATTTTAGTTTATCTGATGTATCGTTTATAACTTCCCTTTTTATTATTTTCTTAACTATTATACTTATTTTATTCTGCTTTTATGCATTTTGACTTCTGTTTTGTCCACCTGTATATCTATCTATTTTATTAATGGATATTTTATGTATGTACGCATCATTTTATCTCATCTGGTGTTTCCTCATTGCATGCATTCCTCAGTCTCTGTGTTTTTTAACTCCTTCATGTACGACATGATGTTTGTTGGTGGTGTTGTTTGTACTTTTTTATTGCAGTTTGATTCTTTTCATCCATAAAGCACTGTGTGTTATATTGCATTTACATAAAAGGTGCTGTAAATAATTACATTCTGATTGATTGTTTATTTGATTGTGCATCATTTGTCTCCTCTCAGAGTGGTCCTGACGGTTTGGGGCGTCGTCACTCTGATCTGCGGAGCCTTCATCTTCGGCCAGAGCACCACCATCGCCGTCATGCAGCTCCTCGGGAAGATCTGAGTGTTTTTCATGGAGACTCAACCTGAACGCGTACTCACCTGCTTCCATCCTCTGAACAGCCTGCGGTGAGTTGAGGCTCTCTAAACCATGAACATGACCCCCTGAACCGTGAAGAAGCTTCTTCAAACCTGCGGCTTTTGTTTTTTTTTTTACCACGATGGACTAAACCTTCCTCCCTCCTCGGGGTATGTTACATCCACTCGGGTTAATCGCTCTGTATCTCCTCCTTCTCCTGCCACGCTGACGTCCGACTGAACTCCTCAGGTATTCTCTGCATAATGTCGTCACATTTATCAGCGTATGTACGTGCAGTCTTTGGGTAACATGAAGGACGTTAAATGTAGAATGTGCGTGGGGTTATTTTCACTTTATTGGTAGAAAAAATCTGAAATTATCAACTGCAAAATATGATATTAAGACTTTAAAGATCCAACCCGGTTTTCAAAAAGTAAAAAACACACAATCTAGTTGCTGCTACTCTTATAAACCTCATTTTTGATTTAAAACACTGATGCAAAGACGACATATCAAATGTTAAAGCTGAGAAATTTCCCTGCCTTTTGAAAAATATGAGCTCATTTTGATTTTAAAGAAAGCAAAGGAGGTCTTTGCACATCTACATCATGAGCCTATTGACTCCAGCAGACAGTCGAACTTGCAAATACGCATTTTTTAATAAATCTTTTTTTTTTTTCCAGTGAAGGTCTAACACTGAAATATGACGCTAGATGTATTTTTGCTGGATAATCGAATCTGATAAGAGCAACTTGCTTCAATAATGTTGAAACAGGGACACCAAAAGAGGAGAAAACTTTACAAAAAACACATTTTGGAACATTTCACTACTAATTAAGTTAATTGGCTAAAGGTCAGAAACAGGATTTGGTGTAAAAATAAAAACAAAAACATCCCAGAGAACCCACAGGTCTTCCAAAATTTAGATTTAGAAACGTTGCTGCCTTTTTTGGGCCTGAGATCATTTAAATGGGCGAAAACACACTTGCAAAACGAAGCAGGTTCAACATATTCAGACTTTAAAAAAAAATAATTCGGCTCGACAAGAACCGAAGCCGCACTCAGAGATAACAGGCATCACAAAGGTGGTTATCGGCTCAGGTTTTCCTCTTCAGACCGATCATGTGCTGCCTGCTTTAGTCCAGAGGAACAGGTTCTTATAAAGAAGAATATAAAAAATGTATTACAGTAAAAAATGACGCCAGAGAGGAATGCTGGTAGAAAACTGAATCGTCTAAGTCTGGGGTGTCCAATCCTAGATGTTCCCCTCTTCCAACACACCTGATTCAAATGATCAGGATCATTATCAGGCTTCTGCAGAGCTTGATGATGAACTGATCATGTGAATCAGGTGTGTTGGAAGAAGGAAACATCTAAAACATGCTGGATAGGGGCTCTTGAGGACCAGGATTGGACACCCCTGACTTAGACGATTCAGTTTTCTACCAGCATTCCTCTCTGGCGTCATTTTTTACTGTAATACATTTTTTATATTCTTCTTTATAAGAACCTGTTCCTCTGGACTAAAGCAGGCAGCACATGATCGGTCTGAAGAGGAAAACTTGAGCCGATAACCACCTCTGTGATGCCTGTTATCTCTGACTGCGGCTTCGGTTCTTGTCGAGCTGAATTATTTTTTAAAAAGCCTGAATATGTTGAACCTGCTTCGTTTGGCTAGTTTGTTTTCGCCCATTTAAATGATCTCAGGCCCAGAGAAGGCAGCAGCGTTTTTAAATCTAAATTTTGGAAGACCTGTGGATTCTCTGGGATGTTTTTGTTTTTATTTTTACACCAAGTCCTGTTACTGATCTTTAGCCAATTAATTTAATTAGTGGTGAAATGTTCCAAAATGTGTTTTTTGTCAAGTTTTCTCCTCTTTTGGTGTCCCTGCTTCAACATTATTGAAGCAAGTCGCTCTTATCAGATTCCATTATCCAGCAAAAATACAGCTATCGTCATATTTCAGTGTTGGACCTTCACTGGAAAAAAAAAATAATTAAAAAATGCGTATTTGCAAGTTCGACAGTCTGCTGGAGTCGATATGCTCGCTCTTATTTCATGATGTAGATGTGCACAGATCTCCTTTGCTTCCTTTAAAATCAAAATGAGCTCATATTTTTNAGCTGAGAAATTTCCCTGCCTTTTGAAAAATATGAGCTCATTTTGATTTTAAAGAAAGCAAAGGAGGTCTTTGCACATCTACATCATGAGCCTATCGACTCCAGCAGACTGTCGAACTTGCATTTTTTAATAAATCTTTTTTTTTTTCCCAGTGAAGGTCTAACACTAAAATATGACGATGGCTGTATTTTTGCTGGATAATGGAATCTGATAAGAGCAACTTGCTTCAATATTGTTGAAGTAGGGACACCAAAAGAGGAGAAAACTTTACAAAAAACACATTTTGGAACATTTCACCACTAATTAAGTTAATTGGCTCAAGGTCAGTAACAGGATTTAATGTAAAAATAAAAACAAAACCATCCCAGAGAACCCACAAGTCTTTCAAAATGTAGATTTAGAAACGCTGCTGCCTTTGTTGGGCCTGAGATCATTTAAATGGGCGAAAACAAACTTGCAAAACGAAGCAGGTTCAACATATTCAGGCTTTTTAAAAAATAATTCGGCTCGACAAGAACTAAAGCCGCAGTCAGAGATAACAGGCATCACAAAGGTGGTTATCGGCTCAGGTTTTCCTCTTCAGACCGATCATGTGCCTACTTAAGTCCAGAGTAATAGGTTGTTATAATGAAGAATATAAAAAATGTATTACAGTAAAAAATGACGCCAGAGAGGAATGCTGGTAGAAAACTGAATCGTCTAAGTCAGGGGTGCACAATCCTGGTCCTCGAGAGCCCCTATCCAGCATGTTTTAGATGTTTCCCTCTTCCAGCACACCTGATTCACATGATCAGGATCGTTATCAGGCTTCTGCAGAGCTTGATGATGAGCTGATCATTTGAATCAGGTGTGTTGGAAGAGGGAAACATCTAAAACATGCTGGATAGGGGCTCTCGAGGACCAGGATTGGACACCCCTGACTTAGACAATTCAGTTTTCTACCAGCATTCCTCTCTGGCGTCATTTTTTACTGTAATACATTTTTTATATTCTTCTTTATAACAACCTGTTCCTCTGGACTGAAGCAGGCAACACATGATCGGTCTGAAGAGGAAAACCTGAGCCGATAACCACCTTTGTGATGCCTGTTATCTCTGACTGCGGCTTCGGTTCTTGTCGAGCCGAATTATACAAAAAAAGCCTGAATATGTTGAACCTGCTTCGTTTTGCAAGTTTGTTTTCGCCCATTTAAATGACCACAGGCCCAAAAAAGGCGGCAGCGTTTCTAAATCTACATTTTGGAAGACCTGTGGGTTCTGTGGGATGGTTTTGTTTTTATTTTTACACCAAATCCTGTTACTGACCTTCAGCCAATTAACTTAATTAGTGGTGAAATGTTCCAAAATGTGTTTTTTGTAAAGTTTTCTCCTCTTTTGGTGTCCCTGCTTCAACATTATTGAAGCAAGTTGCTCTTATCAGATTCCATTATCCAGCAAAAATACAGCCATCGTCATATTTCAGTGTTGGACCTTCACTGGAAAAAAAAAGAAATTATTAAAAAATGCGTATTTGCAAGTTCGACTGTCTGCTGGAGTCGATATGCTCGCTCTTATTTCATGATGTAGATGTGCACAGATCTCCTTTGCTTCCTTTAAAATCAAAATGAGCTCATATTTTTNCTTTGCTTCCTTTAAAATCAAAATGAGCTCATATTTTTCAAAAGGCAGGTCTAAGTTATTGGAAAAGACGATGCACACAGTGTGTCTGCACGGCTTCATTCAGTGATATTTCAACAGGTTTCCACATATAATATGTATTATTATATAACAGAATCTGTAATCCTCACAGAGAATTGGCAGGGAAAGAATCTGTGAAAGGCGGATGCTTCTTCCCTCTGGTTCGCTGTGCAGCATCATCTTCTCACCTTAGTGAAAACTCCACAGTCCTCACTAATAACTGATCTTGCTTCGTGGTTCACCTCTCTGCTCTCCTGAGCTCAAAGTGAGCACCTACACTTCACGTAACTACATTTTTTTAAACGTTCGATATGTTGTCTTTGTACATTTCCAATTAAATACAGGGTTTAAGTGATTTGCAAGTCCTTCCAGTCTGTATTTACTTAGATTCCACACAGTGGGATCCAGGTTGTGTCATCTTAAGAGCCAAACGTGGCTCAGTCGAGGAGGGACGCTCTCATTTTAATCAGAATTCTTTGTGTGAGTTACCGCTGGAATACGTGACGAGGAGGAGCTGGTTGAAATATTTACACTCTGCCTGGACTCTTGTGGAGCTATAAGAGGTACTTGAGGTGCAGCGAGGGAGGATAATTTGATGTTTCTGTATATTCAGATGTGTAAATAGATCCATTTTGTATGTTTAAAGGAAAATCCTGCCTTCTGTAATTTGGATTAATTAGCAACGATGTGGAAAGTAGTTCTAATTACTGTCGGTGTTGTGTTGAAGAGGAGAAAACTGAATAAAATAGCTTTTATATGAAACCTTTTGTTTGACGTGCATCTGTTGGCTTTACAAGGCGCCAAAAAATGCAAAATGTTTTAACATGTTTACAGGAATTTAGGGTTTCAGGAAACTGCATCAGGATTCCTCAGATGGCTTCTAGTCGCTGATGAAGCTGGAAAGATTTCAGTTGCAGCCAAAAAACGTTGCACATTAACAGGAGATTACTTTGAAAAATATGTAATTTGTGCCTTTATTTGATAGTGAACAGAGCGAGACGAGGTTTTTCTGATTGGATACGAGTCAAATTGCGGTTATTCAAAGCCTTAAACTTTAATCTGAGCCAAAATATTGCGACGTTTGAAAACAATCCAACTTCTTCAGTGTTTTTAAAGTCCGTAGTGGATTTATCTTTGGATTATGGCGGCTCTTCAGGACCAAACACATACCAGAGTGAAGCACAAAGC